GGGCTGCTTCAGCTCAAATTTGGCAAAAATGAAATAGAAATGTGCTTGAAAAAGAAAACTTCATGTTCAACTTTACAGAGATGGTGTATTTGACCTTGCTTTATGACATAGTAAAAAAAATCAAGTTTTAGAAAATTTCGCGGTGGACTCATTTTGTGCCAGACACCAATCGATATGGCCATTCATTTCCTCTGGCTTGTTAAAATACTGGAGTGTGGAGAATTTTTTTCCCTTTTTAAAGAATTGTGTGCTTAAAGTGAAGTTGTATCCATGGAATTCATGAACATGGTATTGATGGGCAAAAAATTTGTTTTCAAATATTATTTTGTTATTTAACCCTTTGAGCCCTGACCTCCTGAGGCTACTGTTCCCCTCTGCCTGAGCTCCATAGCGATATATTCCCATATTCCCAACATCCGTAAGAGCATCAGAATCACTCTCCGTATCCCACTCAGGGTAGTCCTTGTCATTACCAGCATCTAATTCAGAAAGATCTTCAAAATAATCTATAACATCCTCTATAATAAACACAGTTTTCCTGTGTGCATTTTGTCCCAGGCTGGTCGGGTTGGAGATAAAATCTCGCTCTCCGGTGTACCGGTGGCTAGGCATGCGGGCAGTTTCACGCGCCACCAGTCTACCGGTGGTAAGGGCTCAGAGGGTGAAGGCAGAAATTGTCATTTTCTTCATGTAGAGAGTCATTGTGGTAGATTTTTATCGTATCCTATCCAGAGCTGACCACCTCACGGCAAAATGATATATTCTTACGTTGTTTTTTAAAAAACTTTTGTACGCTTATAAGACTTTTTCATATATTGTAAATCTTTTTCATGTCAGCCGGGTAGCATTAGGGTTTTAGATTTCATATTTTTCTGCTTGTCCCTCAAATTTCTGCCCCGATAAGTGTATTCGGCAACTTCTAGTTCCTGCTGGTCCCGTGTCTGAGTGCCCTTATAGCTTATCTTGCACGTACCTGGTGAGCTACGCTGCGGGTGCAAAGTGGGACTATAAATGTGTGCGGGCCGGTCTGCTTGTGTCTGTGTACCGCTACATGTCTTTGTGTCGATCATCAACACATACTAGCTTCTGTACTGACATTGCGGTAGCCTAGTGGTTAGGCTACCGGACTCGTAATTGTGAGATTGCGGGTTCGGGGGTTCGAGCCTCAGCTCGGTCCGACGTTGTGTCCTTGGGAAAGGCACTTTACACGAACTTCCCACTTGGCTCGGTCCTATCGGAGACGGACTTTAAACTAGGAAGTCCTGCCCCTTGGGGCGTTAAACCCATACCATTTCACCATTTTCACTGATGTTGCCCTTGTTCATCCAATGAAATTGCAGCAGATATTACTTACTACTCATCGAAGGGATTCTGGAAACTGTTTTCCCATGTAACAACCCAAACGTCACTTTCACATGTTTTCAGTGAGCCTGTTTCCACACCGTATTGTAAAATTTAGTGATATAGATCTTATTAAAACCATTTTTAGCGATTAGAAGGTAAAGCTTGAAAGCAACTGATTGAAAAAACTTTTGGAAACTGGATTATTTTTCCCCTTCTCAAACCATGAG